TTTCTGATTTTGTTTATTTGGGTCCTCTCTCTTTGTTTCTTGGTTAGCCTGGCTAGAGGTTCATCTATCTTGTTTATTCTTTCAAAAAACCAGCTCTTGGTTTTGTTGATCTTATGTATTGTTTTTTTGGTCTCTATGTCGTTTATCTGTGCTCTGATTTTTGTTATTTCCTTCCTTCTGCTTTCACTGGGCTTTTCTTGTTGCTCCTTTTCTAATTCTTTGAGTTGTAGAGTTAGATCATCTGTTACCCTTTTTTCTAGTTTTTTGCAATAGGCTTGTAAGGATATGAACTTCCCTCTCAAAACTGCTTTTGCTGTGTCCCATAGATTTTGGATTGTTGTGTTTTCATTGTCATTTGTTGCCAGGATGTTTTTAATTTCTTCCTTGATTTCTCTGGTAACCCAGTCCTTGTTTAATAGCATGCTGTTTAATCTCCATGTGTTTGATTTCTTTGGATTATTTTTATTGTAGTTAATTTCCAGTTTTATGCCATTATGGTCTGAGAAGATACTTGATACGATTTCTATCTTCTTAAATTTGAAGAGACTTTGCCTATGTCCCAAAATGTGGTCTATCTTTGAGAATGTCCCATGTGCACTTGAGAAGAATGTATATTCTGCGGCTTTGGGGTGGAGTGTTCTGAAGATGTCAATTAATTCCATCTGGTCTAGTGAGTCATTTAGGATTGATATTTCTTTGCTGATTTTTTGTTGAGATGATTTGTCGAAGGGTGACAGAGGGGTATTAAAATCTCCTACTATGATTGTATTGCTATGAATCTCTCCCTTAATGTCCTCCAGCAGTTTTTTTATGTATTTGGTTGCTCCTGTATTGGGTGCATATATATTTACCAGGGTAATTTCTTCTTGTTGGATTGTTCCCTTTAGTATTATGAAGTGGCCTTCATTATCTCTTATTATGTCCTTCAATCTGAGATCTAATTTGTCAGATATAAGTATTGCTACCCCAGCTTTTTTTTCATTTCCATTTGCCTGGAAAACTTTTTTCCATCCCTTCACCCTCAGTCTGTGTGCATCTTTTTTTCTGAGGTGGGTTTCTTGTAGACAACAGATGTATGGGTCTTGTTTTCTTATCCAATCTGTTACCCTATGTCTTTTTATTGGAGCATTTAAACCATTTACATTTAAAGTTATTAATGATAGGTACTCATTTGACGCCATTTTTAATCTATACCCATGTTCCTTCTTCACTTAATATTTCTTTATTTTTACAGTAGACCCCTTAGCATTTCTTGCATTGCTGGTTTGGTGGAGATAAATTCCTTCAGTCTTTTTTTGTCTGTGAAGCTCCTGATTTCCCCTTCAATTTTGATTGATAGCCTTGCTGGGTACAGTATTCTTGGATTCAGACCCTTTCTTTGCATGACTTTGTATATTTCATCCCATTCCCTTCTGGCCTGATAAGTTTCCGTTGAGAAATCAGTTGCTAGTCTGATGGGGGTTCCTTTGTATGTAACTTTCTGTCTCTCTCTGGCTGCTTTTAAGATTCTTACTTTGTCGTCGTTGTTTGCCAATTTAATTATAATATGCCTTGGAGTCTGTTTTCTGGGATTCATTTTGCTTGGGACTCTGCGAGCATCTTGGATTTGTGTGGGTTTTTTCTTCTCTATTTCAGGAAAGTTTTCTGTCATTATTTCTTGAAATACTTTTTCCATGTCTACCTCAGTTTCCTTTCCTTCTGGAACCCCTATTATTCGAATATTGTTTTGTTTTGTATTGTCCCAAAGCTCCCGTAGGCTCTCCTCCTGCTTTTTAATCTTTTTTTCTAGAAGTTGCTCTACTTGGGTATATTTTTCCATCTTATCTTCTAGCTCACTGATGCGGTCCTCTGCTTCATCTAGTCTACTCTTGATGCTTTCTATTGAGTTCTTCATGGTAGCGATGTCATTTTTCATTTCCTCTTGGTTCTTCTTCAATTCCTCATGGTTCTTCTTCAATTCCTCGTGGTTCTTCCTCATTTCTTCTTGGTTATTGTCAAATTTCTCTTCCATTCTTTTTAGCCATCCTATGATCATTATTCTGAATTCTTGCTCTGGTAGGCTGGTTGCCTCTGACTCTACTTCCTTTTCTGGTGATGCCTGCTTTTCTTTTATGTGCAGACTATGTTTTTGTCTCCCCATGGCCTCTCTTTTCAGGGTGTCTGGTTATGTGGTGTTCCTTCTCCTTTCCGTGGGTGACTGAAGATCTCCCCGGAATCCACGTGTCTGCGCAGCTCTGGGAGTCTCAGCTGCTCGATGGACCTCCGGGCTGTGCGTTTTCCACGCCTCAGAGAAGCTTTTTCCTTCCTGGCAAGACAATGCAGCCCTTCCTCCACGCCCGCAGCCCACCGCTCGCTGCCTCCGCCGCTGCGGCCGCGGCCGTCCCGCTTGGTCAGGAAATCCTGTCCAGCGGACCCTCCCTTACCCTCCTTGAGAGCTCCGCTGTCCCTTAGCTGCCAAATAACACTCCCTGAGTGGCTCAGAAGCCCCCTTTATCCGTTCTGGGACCAGAGTCAGAACAGGTCCGACTGTTCGGTCGCCATCTTCAAGCTCCGCCGAGAGCCACATTTTTTAAACTTAAACTTCTTCTAATGTCACTTCTTCAAAATAGACTTGCCCAGGCCTTGGTATTTTGTGGAAGAGCCATATTCAAGGGGCCAAAGTGCCGCATGTGGCTTGAGAGCCAGTTTGCCGACCACAGGGCTGAAGTGCTATCCCAAGCTTTCACACAGCGGAATGATCACCTACTGAGGCACCTAATGCCAGAAAGCAGGGGTGGCTGGAAAATCATTTGGTCTGGCTCTGCCAAGGCATTAGGGGTGAGTTAATTAAATGCTAGCAGGCTAATTATTTTAAGTTAATAATTTTGTATGGCTGGCAAATGATGTTATAAATATCTCAATAGCCCGAGGCAGAAGAGACAGTCATCGCCCTGACTCACACTGTGGACCAAAGTGCGGTGCTGTGAGAACACGAAGCCCCGCACCCTGGGAAAGGAGTTCACAATGAGAGGTCCCACCAGGATGAGGGTGAGTTGGCCTCCCAGGTGAGGGGAATCACACAATCTCCACCGGGACCCTCCTGTCCTGACAGCTGCCCAGTGGAAAAGCATCTGGAATGAAACAGGCACCACTGGGAGAGAAGAGCTGGGGGTCCTGGTCTGGCATGTTCTACTCCCAGCAGTCCATCTCCTCCCCGTGCGCCCCAGCCGACATGGATGTTATACATGTTCTGGTCAAGTTCCTAAAGTTTCCACACACCCCGCCCCCCAAGGACAGAATCGGTTTCCCATCGATGCCAAAATTCAGCTGCCATCTCTGTTCCCTCCATTATCCTGGAGGATGTTACAACACAAAAGAAAGACACTACACTAAATTCACCCAAGCCTTGAATGTTAGCCAACAAAACCCATCTTTAATGAATACTGAAATGTCCCTAAAAAGAAAGCTAGGGCGTGGACGTTATTACTGCTTCACAAGGAGGCAGACCTGTGCCATTGTCCAAAGAGAATGTGTTCATACCATAAGTCTGTTAATGTTTCACACTGAGCACACGAGTGAATGCACTGAGTGACCTGACCCTTAGCCTAGCAGACTTAATAAATCAGTGGTTCTGATCTTGGGGCTCAGTGGAAAAATTATTACTTGTTTTGGGGATCATTATCTTAACCTGCTATCGCTTGCATATGCCTGTTTGTTGCTGTCATGTCTGTCTCCAATGCAACCAGACAGAGGCCAAACGAGCCACCTCCATGCTGTGAAAATCCATGCTGACCCCTCAGGGCACACTGCGGAAGAGGAGGCACATGACATTGTAAGAGCCAGCCATAAGGGCAGAGTGTTGGAGGAGGTCATTCAGAGGACATGACCATCGACTGAACAGTGAGGTGGACATAAGCAAATGGCTCCCTCAGCCCTCCCCTCCCTGGAATGTATGTCCTCACCACCGTTCCCCACAGGGGGAGCCACTTCAGGGATGCAGCCTTGAGAGCAGAAGGTGCTGTGAGACCACCTGGACTGAACACATGACTGAACACCATTTAGGCCTTTCTATAAAATGTAAGACTTGGCAGGCAGTTTGGAGATGTACTTGCCTCACAGTCCCCCAAGATGAGCCTCATAAGTTAAGTTCCTTTGCTTATTTCACTTGCCAACTACCAATTTGGGATGGCAGCCTTCCCTCTCTCCCTGCCCTCTGTGTAAGGGTGATTCAGATGTCACCTGGAGATGCCCAAGGGTGTGTTCACTGCCAGAGCTGCTATTTGACATCTGGCCTCGGGGCAAGCCATTTCCTCCTCCCCTTGTCTATTGGTCCTCGCAACTCTCCCAATTTCCTACAAGCTAAGTGATGCATCTAAAAGCATGATTTACCGGATACCCAGGGCCTAATTGTTTTGTAGTAACAAGGCAACACATTATCTACTCTGTCATATATTCTGTAACATTAATTCTCTTCAACTGTTTCATGATTCAAATAATACAGTTTTATCAGATTCATTCTGTCCTAGTTATAAGTGTGTGTGTGTGTGTGTGTGTGTGTGTATATATATATGCGCACTCTTTCTGTTACCCTCACAGCCAGTGTGCCCAATATTCCACACATTTACCTCCCTCCTCAGCCAATCCCAACATCCTCAGGAAGGCATTTACAAACATGCCATTTAGGATGTGTCATTTACTGCAAAGTTAAAAGGACAGAATACAAGTAAGTCTGCATTTGATAACTTTCTGAAAGAAATCCATTAGATATACAGTCAGGCTATTTCACAAGAGTGGTAAAATAGAACACCTGAAATTTGTACAATTTTAAAATGTGCTGGTCACATCACAGGGTCTTATAAGACATTTGTGTGGTCAACTTAAAAACCACAGAATGGCCTCAGTCTTCAATATAAAAAATTGAAACAAAATTGTCTATGCCTTTATCTTCTGATGTGAGTTACAAGGGGTGAGTGAAATCATACTGCCCTGAAAAATCATGCAAACGGACTGCAAACACTCACCAGTATTCTCGTCGGCTGGGCACATACCGTCTAGAACATCCTGATCACCTTCTGCAGCTATATATGCCCAGCTGTCAGCCTCCTCTCTTGTATTTCTCCTTTCTTTAAGTACCTGATTGCTTTCCCTGGCTTTGTGATCTTCTGCAAAATTACAATCCAGTAGTGTTTCTTCTCTTTTCTGATTATTCTCAGGAAAATCATTTTTTCCTTCTGGAATTAATTTAAATAAATCAAATGCATTTCTGATGTCCTTAAGTGCTAGTGGAAAAAAAGAAAATGGTAATGAATAGGAACCACAATTTCTATTGCAATCAAAAGAATATCTGGGTTTGTGTTAAAAAAAACAGGTATTTTCTTAATTTTTTACCAATATCTACCTTGATTCTAAAGCATCATCAGGTTTGTACTATCAAACCCATGAAGCTGTTTCAGTTGCTCTTTCTATTGGCTGCTCAATGCTTAGAAAAGGGTTTACATCCAAAGTGAATGGCTGTTTTCCACTGTTATGAACCATTCTCAGTTTTGACAAAACAGCTTCAAAATAACCTCAGTCATGCCACCAACTGTCCTGCTTAGACAACTGCCGAAAACTGTATCCTGAAGCTAACCTTATACACAGTGATCTCTGGGGGAGTGGGGAAATGGGAGGGTACCATGCCAGCACACTGTGCATTCGGTAAAATTTAGCTGATGTATGTGACACTCCACACAACTTTAAATATATATTTTTTTAATTAATTTCAGAGAGGAAAGGAGAGGTAGAGGGAGACAGAAATATCGATGATGAGAGTCATTGATCAGCGGCGTCCTGCATGCCCCACATTGGGGATGAGCCCGCAACCCAGGCATGAGCCTTGACTAGGAATCGAACCCTGACATCCTGGTTTATAGGTTGATGCCCAACCACTGAGCCACACCAGCTGGTTCAACTTTTAACTAAAGATAAAAGTGAAAAGAAGACTGGCAAAGCACTAGGTCTGACATAATAACTGAAAAAGGGGCAGATACATGGGACCAGGCTGGGGCCGCACCCAGCTATGGCGGTTTAAAATTGTCTCTCTTGAATCAATGTTTCTCATCTCCCTCTTTCCCTGTCTTTCCCCTTTACTCCCCTTCATCCCTTCCCTCTCTTCCACCCTCTAAATATCCTCTGGTGAGGATTAACAACAACGATAGCAAAAGATAGAAAATATCCCTAACCTGGTGAAGGAAATAGACATACAAGTTCAGGAAGCACTGAGTCCCAAACAAGATGACCCAAAGAGGCCCAAACCAAGACTCATCATAATTAAAATGTCCAAGACAAAGAAAGTGTCTTAAAAGCAGCAAGAGAAAAACTTGGTTACCTACAGGAGAGCTCCCATAAGACCATCAGTTGATTTCTCAACAGAAACTTCGCAGGTTAGAAAGGAGATTGCAAGAAATATTCAAAGTGACAAATAGCAAGGACCTACAACTAAGATACCCAGTAAACCTACCCTGTTTCCCCGAAAATAAGACAGTGTCTTATATTAATTTTTGCTCCCAAAGATGCGCTAGGTCTTATTTTCAGGGGATGTCTTATTTTTCCATGAAGAAGAATACGGTACACATTTATTGTTAAATGAAAATAAAGGAAATTTATGACCTGTATATGGTACGGTAGTATGGTAGTTGTCAACACAAACCAGACAAACTGTGAATCCTACAGTATCAAGAATTTACTCATTTATTCAATGACAATCATGTCGTCATCTTCTGGAACATCATCATAACAATCCAATTCCTGAATTTCCTGGTGAATTTCTTGTGACTCCATTTCTTTCAGAATCAGTGGACCGAATCTCTCATGTTTAGCCTAGAGAGGCCTTATTTTCAGGGGGGATGCCTTATATTTCACTCAGAAGGAAACCTGTAAGTAGGTCTTATTTTCGGAGGATGTTTTATTTTTGGGGAAACACGGTATCAGTTAGAATTGAAGGACATATAAAGAGCTTTCCAGGCAAGAAAAAGTTAAAGGAGTTCACCACCAAACCAGTATTACATGAAACGTTAAAGGGTTTTCTTTAAGAAGAAGAAGAAAAATAATTTTAAAAATGAACAATAAAATGGCAATAAATATGTACCTATCAACAGTTGAATCCAAAAAAAACAAAACAAGCAGAACAGAAACAAACTCATAGGTACAGAGAACATTTTGAAGGTTGCCAAGATGGAAGAGGGGTTGAAGGAATGGGTGAAAAACATAAAGGGATTAAAAGTACAAACTGGTTTTTACAAAATAGTCTTGGGGATGGAAAGTACAGCATAAGGAATATAGTCAATAGCATTCAACTAACAATGTATGGTGTCAGATGGCTGGGATTTATTGGGATGATCACTTAGTAGTTATATAATATCTAATCAATGGGGTACACCTGAAACTAATATTATAACCTAACTGAAAAATTGAAAAATAATAAGATCTCCAATTCTGTGACATTGCAGATTAGAAGAGAAAGTATCCCACAGTAAATTTTAATTCCTTGTATAAAAGATGAAAATGTTAAGTAGTAGTATTAACACTCACTGTTTAATCCCTTTGGCTCTCTGCGGCCTTCCTTGTCCAAATCATGTCTTTTTTGATATTTTTCTTTGGGTTCGTTTTTTTTGGTCTCTTTCTCCTAAAAGAGAAACATGTAAGACCCAGAATAGGAACATATAAGAGCTCAGACCACTTGACAGTGCCATCGTACTGATTCTCATGATTCAAATCTTGTTCATATAAACTGCTTCCCCAAGCAAGATTATTTCTCAACAATAATTTACAAAACGTCAAATTCAAAACCCAACACCAATTTCCTCAAGTCTATCTTAAGAGGTTTTTTTTTACTATAAAAAAATAAAGAAAAATTTTTAAAAAAATGGTGGCCTACAATCCTAACCAAACATGATTTTTTATTTCTGCACATTCTTACCTTCTGAGCATTCTAATTTTGCAGATAACTTTGTTGTTTGAAATTAATTTTAAAAATTTACATTGCATAGATTTTTTAAAAATATATTTTATTGATTTTGTACAGAGAAGAAGGGAGATAGAGAGTTAGAAACATCGATGAGAGAGAGTCATCGATCAGCTGCCTCTTGCACACCCCCTACTGGGGATATGCCCGCAACCAAGGCACATGCCCTTGACCGGAATCGAACCCGGGACTCTTCAGTCCCCAAGCCGACACTCTATCCATTGAGCCAAACCGGTCTCGGCTACATAGATTTTTTTACATCACTATGTTCATGTATATGTATGGTTTTCTTCACAATAAAATTTTGTACTTTTGATCTCATGATTAATATTTCTGGATATATATAATAGTTCTCAAATTGATACAACATTTTCTTAATCTTTTATTTCCTTTATAGCTAGAAAGACTGGTATTAATAGTAAAGATAACTACTATAAATATATTTGTCTGCATAACTCTTTCTCCCTTAAAAAAAATTTCCTTAAGTCTACAAAACTGGGAATAATGAATGAAAAAAAGTTACCATTTTTATAGCCCTTGATATGTGAATACCTTCATAATGTATAAAATAGTTTCATTTTGAAAACCCCTATAAAAATAACTTTTTAAATAAGGGGGCAAATTATTTAATATATTTTTGTAAGAAAGACTTTTGTTAGTGTACTCTGCACTATTATTTGAGTAAAAAGTGGTAGATTCTTAAGACAACAGGGGGGAAATATGAAGTAGGATCTGAAAAGCTAAAAGAGACAACTAATGAAGCTGTCAGCTTTACAATACAATGCTGCTAGGCACACTGAACGCCCCAACAGGAGAAAAATTGTTCCTATAGTTCCACTGTTTCATCATTTGTGAAACTTCCTGGCCACTCAAAAGAGTGCTAGCTAGATGGGAATATTGCTCATCCTATAAGATTTTAACACACCGTCCTTCAACCAAACCATCCCGGACTACTCACTTCTCCAGCAGAGTCGGTGGACCGAAGGCCTCGCTCTTCCCCTCCCGCCCTGGAGCTCCTGTGTGTCTGGGCCAGCCCCGATGTCAGGTTATCGGACTCAGTAATACTTCTGCTTTTGTCTTGATTCCTCAGCTTTTTATGTGCATTTTTCTTGTCTAAAGAAAGGTTCTTGTTTTCTAGCTTTTTGCTCTCTTTAAGTTCCTCAGCCTTTCTGGGTTTCTTTTTGTTTCTCCTTCCTCTGACGTCAGCATCTTCATCAGCACTTCCGGAGCTGTCCAGGAGCTTGTCTAGAACAGCATCTTGAGCTGCATCTAGCCCTGCTTTGTCTTTTCCACTTTTAATCTTTAGTTTCTCTTCTCTGTTGTCAGACTGTAAATCTTCACTGTCCCCCTCCTGAAAGGAGAGATCATTAAGTACATCTGATTCAGAGTCCAACTGAGATTCAACACATTTCTCTTTTCTTGTTTTTCTGTTTTCTTTGAAATCTTCTTTTATTTTAATCTTTAAATCTCTTATTTCAGCCTTTTTAACTTTCTTTAGTTCCTTAGTTTCTTTTATATCATCTTTTTTGAGCTTTTTGGATTCCTTTAATTCTTCTTTGGCTTCAAAAATTCTTTTCTTTGTCCTTAAATCAAAAAATGAAATTTCAGAGTTCTCCAAGTCTGGTTTAGATTTCTCTTTTAGTTTCCCAGGCTTTGCTTTTTTCTTCTTCAGATCATCTGGACTTTTCTCTTCTCTCTGCCTTAATTTTTTCTTTTTCTTTTTTGGAGAAGTATCTTCTTTTGTCTCACTTTGCTGATCACTATCAGAGTTTGCCTCAAATATGTCATTATTTAAAGATAATCTCTATAAAACAGAAAATATTTAAATACTCATTAACATAGTAATTCAAAAGGTATTGGAAAGTAGTACTAATTATATATGGTAGAAATGTCTTTTTTCTCCCCAGCAATTTCTCAACTCCTTAAAATTACTTATCTAAACAGAAGTTGTTTAATATTACTTGTATCTCTGATTTAGCAAGTAAGACTTGGTAGTAATGATGAACTTCAATTTAAGAAAATAGATAAACACATACAGAGGAACAAAACTGTTAGCATTGCTGAAGATCTGAAGCTAAAGGTCAACCTTGTTTGATTCCCGGTCAGACACATGCCCAGGCTGAGAGCTCCATCCCCAGTGTGGGGTGTGCAGGAGGCAGCTGATCAATGATTCTCACTTATCATTGATGTTTCTATCTCTCCCTTTCCCTTCCTCTCTGAAATCAATAAAGAAAAAATAATAAACAATAAAGCAACTTCAATGGTGATGATGATGATAGGGAATGGGGCTGTACATGATTTGAACCTCAAAATACTCCAAAACATCAAGTAATTTGTACAAACTTTCTTAGTTGCCGAAAAAGTATTTACCAATCCAAACAAAATTTTATTTTTTTAAGATTTTAGAATGGTCATAAACTTGCTGTTTAACTTCACTGTTGCATAAGGAATGAGCTAAGATACAGCATCCAAATCTCACCTCCACAAGTGATTTGTTATTTACAGTTGATCCTTGAACAACTCAGGAGTTGGGAGTGGGGCCACAGACTCCTGCAAATTAGAATATAACTTTGAACCCACCAAAACTTTACAGTCTTGCTTCAGTATCCAGGGTACCCCCACCTCCACAGATAAAAAGATCCATGGATGCTCGACCATTATACAAAACTAGAGGCCCGGTGCATGAAAATCCATGCACTGGGGGCAGGGGTCCCCTCAGCCCAGCCTGCCCACTCTCACAGTCTGGGAGCCCTTGGGGGCAGGAGGTGACCCAGCAATCAGGGGCAGGCGACATCTCCATCACACCTCTGCTGCTGCTACCGTCAGCAGCACAAGCCTCGGGCGGCCCTGGTTATCTGAGCCTCAGGTAGCCCTGGGAAGCTGCCATCTGAGGCTTGCCTGTGCCTCGGGCCCGCACAAGGTGGCTAGGGAGCTGAGGGCAGGTCCGGTGTGCCTGCTGCTCTCCCCTCCCCCCACTGGCAGGGCTGAAAGGACAGTGTGCCACCATTTTGTGGCTATGGGTGCCACCATCTTTGTGACAGCATGATGGCCAATTTGCATATTCCCTCTTTATTAGATAGGACTAGGGGCCAAGTGCAAGAATTTGTGCACCTTGAAAGGAACCGTGGGCTGCCAAGCTGTAGTGGGCACAGGGGCAGGTCTCAGTGCCTGCCCCCACCGGCTCCTCCTGCCATGGACCCCAGTCCCCTCTCTGCTGGCAGCCCTGCTCCCGTACCACCACTCCCACAAGCTGACTGCACCAGCCCCCCTTGCTCCTGCTGATGTGTGAAGCAATTGGGGCTGGTGCCAGCAGTGGGTGTAAGCAAGACCAGTGATGTCAGCAGGTGCAAGCAGTGCCTGCTGCCCTGATTGTCCCTCAGGAGCAGGGTGAGGTGGAGAAGCCCTCAGGGGCAATCGGGGCTAGCAGCTGCCACTTGCACCCACTGTTGGTGACAAGTGACTGGGCCGTGGGACCCAGCATCAAGTCCCACCGGTGCCTTGAGACCCATCAATGCATCCCCTGGTCACTGGTCTTCGGTCATTATGGTGTTACGACCATTGATTTTTTTATTATATAGACTAGAGGCCCGGGACATAAAATTTATGAACGGGGGAAGGGTGTCCCTCAGCCCAGCCTGCACTCTCTCCAATCTGGGACCCCTTGAGGGATGTCTGACTGCCCGTTTAGGCCCAATCCCACTGAGCAGTTGGACATCCCTCTCACAATCCAGCACTGCTGGCTCCAAACTGTTCACCTGCCTCTGCCTGATTGCCCCTAACCACTTCTGCCTGCCAGCCTGATCACCCTCTAGCCACTCCTCTGCCAGCCTGATCAACACCTAACTGCTCTCCCCTGTCATCCAGGTCACCCCTATCTGCCCTCCTACCAGTCTGGTTGCCCCCAACTGTCCTCCCCTGTAGGCCTGGTTGTCCCCAACTGCCCTACCCTGCTGGTCAGGTCCCCCTGAACAGCCCTCCCCTATAGGCCTGGTCCCTCCCCCCAACTACCCTCTCTTGGAAGCCTGGATCCCCCACAACTGTCCTCCCCTGCAGTCCTGCCCCTCCCCCCAACTGCCCTCCTGTGCAAGCCTGGCCCTCTCCCCAACTGCTCTCCCCTGCTACCCTGGTTTCCCCCAACTGCCCTCCTCTGCTGGCCTGGTCACTCCTAACTCCCCTCCCTGCTTGCCTGATCGCCCAGAACTGCCTTCCCCTGCAGGCCTGGATCCCCCACAACTGCCCTCTCCTACAGGCCTGGTCCCCCCCAACTGCTCTCCCCTACAGGCCTGGTCTCCCAACTACCCTCTTCTTCAGGCCTGGATCCCCCCCAACTGTCCTCCCTGGCTGGCCTGGTCTCCCCCAACTGCCCTCCCCTGCAGGCCATCTTGTGTCCACATGGGAGTGGCCATCTTGTGTCTTAGAGTGACAGTCAATTTGCATATTACTCTTTTATTAGATAGGATTTATTATCTTTATATTTTAAAAGTAAAAAGGTATTTTTAAAAAGGGTGAAAAAATGGGCATGATTATCACATAACTATAATTTATAATCAGCAATAAATTAGAAAACTGACATCACAATCTTTTAAAAAAAAATTCTCACCTGAGGACATGCTTAGAGAGAGGAAGAGAGAGAGAAATATCAATGTGAAAGAGAAACATCAACTGGATGCCTTTCATAGGTACCCCAACCAGGGATCAAACCTGCATCCCAGACAGAACATGCCCTGATGGGGAATCAAACTAGCGACCTTTCTGTGCAGGGGACAGCTGAGCCATTACATCTTGATGTAATTAATATACACCACACTGAATCTAATCAAGAGAAAACAAATCACCTTATCCCAATTTTAAAAAATACTGTTTATTTGTGATTTAACATTAATATTCATTTAATTCCAATTTAAATGACCTATCAAACAATTGGCCTAGATTAATAAAAAACTGTCCACAACATGAAAGACAAAAAGCTATGGATGTTTTCTACACTAGGACAGAAAACTAGAAAGACATGAAGCAAAATGACCTGCATAACAGGAAGCAATAAAGGACCTTCAACAAGGACAAGGCAGAACAGAGCAATGTGTCAGCTAGACATTAGACAACAGCGCTGCTGATGTAATGCTACTGGTAGGCACAGCGAATTTCCCTGAGGACGTCTCTGTTGTTATGAGACACATGCTGGGGATTCAAGATATGGTTTGCAATGTGCTCTGAAGTTATCATGTCCTCATCCTACAGCTACCGTATTTTCCGGCGTATAAGACGACCCCCTAATTTTGCAGTTAAAACATAGATTTAGGCCTATATTCCCTGTATAAGACAACCCCCCACTTCCGAGGCAACACCAGTTCTTTTTTTTAATAGACCGCCTCTCTGACTCTGGCCAACCTGAGCAGGCTTTTTACTAGAACACTAGTGTTGCCTCGGAAGTGGGGGGGGAGTCTTATACAGCGAATATAGGCCTAAACCTATGTTTTAACTGTAAAATTAGGGGGGTCGTCTTATACACCGAAAAATACAGTACTTGTTTTGTTTTGTTCTTTTAAAAGGATGTGTTTTTTATTTTATGTATTTTTTTTATTGATCTTAAAAAGGGAGGGGGGCTATAGAGGAATAAACAATCAACTGAGCCACCACAGCCAGGGCAACAAATACCATTTTCTGCAACATGTGTATTTTCTGGTAAACAGCATTAACAACGATTTCTGGATTATTTTAAGAAACCATTCCCAACTTTTTGTTATACTTACTAAGTCCTAAGTAGGCAGTGCTCTCAGAATTAATGAAAGTTGACAAATCAAATATTCTTATAGATGGTACTTTGTTAAAACCTCTCCTTAAGACAAAAACTTTGGTGATTGGGAAATACCATATAAGTAATACTACTTATATGAATGCACACAAAGAGATGAATGAAGGCATTGGCCAGGTTGCGCACTTGTTTGGAGCATCGTCCTATACAAGAAAAGGTTGTGGGTTTGATCCCGGTCAAACGAGTACAGGAGGCAACTGATCAATGTCTGTCTGTCTGTTGTCTCTCAAAAGTCAATTAAAAAAACATTTTCTTGGATGAAGATTAATAAAATAAATAAATAAAAAGAGATGAACAAAGCAATTTCCTTCTACTTTTTGATGTTAAACCTCACCTGAGGATATTTTTTCTGCTGTTTTTTTTAGAGCATAGAACAGAGGATGGGAAAGGGAGAAGAGGGGGAAAGGGAAATGGGGAGGTGGAGGGAGAGAGCAACATCAACTGGCAGCCTCCGGCAAGTGCCCTGACTGGGGAGGGGATTGAACCTGGAACCCAGGGATGTACCATTGGCAGGAATCAAACCTGCGAACCTTTGGTGCTTGGGCCAATTCTCCAACCACTGAGTAACACCAGCTACAGCTCTCCTGACTCCTTATTTCTCTATCTACAGTCAAAGAATCACGAGAGCTTATGAATAGCAAAACTAGCAGGTCAACAAATAGTTGCATTTTTGCCATATTCCTGTTTATTGACACCACTTCAATGATTAGACCAAAGAGTCATAGCAATATAAATATTGGAAATACATTGTAAACAACAATCCATGAGAAAGCTGATCTGATACAGGAAATTGAGATTTAATGCTTATAAAGTTTCAAAATGTTAGTAGTGCCTAAAATTTTAAAATATTTATCAAATAGGAAGGATAACTCACAAAAAGATTCTTTAAAGTGAAGAAAGTAGCTTTCTAAAATTAGTACAAAAATTTTAAGCTTAAGAATATGCCTTATACATCAAACTAAAAAATTTTTGCACAGCAAAGGAAACCCATT